GACAGACTTTCCCCCCCCCATGCTTAATATGAATTCATTGGAACAAAACAACTTGGGTGAATTGGAAAAAAAAACCAACAAGTTTTGACCAGTGGTGAACCAGTAGAAATGAAATATCCCAGGCAGAAAGCAGAACTTAATAAATAGGTGAATATGTTGGGAGCAGAAATGACCCAAGTCAGATTCCTAGTCTGATTTCTGATATTTGCCTCTCCTCCTTTAAATGCTCCCGTCTCCTGCTAAGGTTTCCACCGGGGCTGGGTGGACTGACCCCAAATGAGCTCCAGATTTTTGGGAGACCGTAGGTGCACTGATTTTGTGAGGTACTGGGTTCTGTTTCCTCCTGACTTCACTACTGTGTCCTTTTTGCAGTCAAAAGTCTCTCACTATCTCTTTTTTCCCTCGTCTAAACCCTATTCTTCCCTGATTTTCCATCTCCTTATTAGAACTCCTCAGCCTGCTTTCCACTGTTCCCCTTTCAGCAGCGACCTGCAGGCTTATTCCTGTAGCTGTTGCTGCGTGTATCCAGATGGATATGCACTTCCACCAGTCAGTCTTCTCTCCTGAAGTTAACCCCTATTTCCCTGCCTGTACCACACAAATGACAGCTGCTCTGGGAGAGGCAGCTGAACTGGCTCCTCTTCCTTATCCTTGTGGCTTCTCCAACTTCCTCGACTTCCCGTTATAATGAAGGGCATTGACAACCAGCCCAACAAACCGGAATGGAAAAAGCCACTGTCACAGGGCCATTGGGGACCGCTGACAACTGTCCATGGACAAACGGGGCTTCCCAGCTGGGGCTGGTGCCTGTTCACTCTTGCATCTCATCTCCTAAATCCCAACTGGCTTTTCCTATCAGGAGGCTGATGCCCTCTGGGGACTGGGTCAGAAGATCAGTCTGGCACCCACCAGGGTAGGGCACAGAGATTTCTCGATATTTTTTTGATCAGTTGTCTTAATCTCCAATTTTGCTGGGAAATCTTTTAATCATATAGGATGGAATTATATAATGGGAGTGTTGGAGCAATTTAAAATAATGATGACTATCTGTGCAAGACCGAACTTCTACATTTACTGATGAAACACCTTCCATCTGTCCTTCCTTACATCTGTCCTCTCTTCCCTCCTTTCTGTCCATTAGTTCACCCATCCATCCACCCTTTCTTCAGCACAGACACAAAGGGTGACTGCTACTGACCCAGGTCAGATATGCAATGAGTACATGATCTGTAAGTCTCTCCAGCCCACTTAAGCTCCTCTCTCTCCTCCCTGAGCTCCATTCCTGCCCTTCGCAGAGGCAGCCCCGGGACGAGGTGCCAGATGCGCTGTGCAATCCCAGGCTTGCCTCGGCAGGGACGAGGACCAGTTGTCCAAATGTCCTCCACCTCTGTGATGTAACCCAGGGCTGTCACCAAGGCTTCCTGCAGCTCCCAGCACACTTGTGACATGACTGGCTGACACAGCCTGAGGAAACCCGCTGAGGGGGACACATGACTCACAAAGGGCTGGGGTTGCCCAACACAATGAGGCATGAAAAGACAGCAGGCCTCTGGAGAGAGGAAGGTCAACTCCAAGCTAACTGCATTGCTGTGGGCATCTGTTCCCTGGGCTGCAGCTGCACAGTCTGCTGCAGGGGTGTTGCTTTTAACCCCTGTGGCAGCCACAAAAAGGGCTCTGGAAAGGGCAGTTTCAGGTTTGGTAACTGGGCACACCACTGACACTGAAAAAGCTTTTCCCTCAAGAAATGATGAGGTGATGGATGGCTTGAGTTGCTGGGACTACTCACTCTCTGCAGTTCTGTGGCTGGCGGCTGCTTTTGGAAAGGTTTTTCTTCTAATGCCCTCCTAAAACTAGTCAGCCACGTAGTGACCTGGGGAAACATCGACCCCAGCGATGTCTGCACAAAAGCAGAGCATTTCAGAGGGTTTACAGCAAGCCTTATTTCAAACCCTTCCACAGAGCACCAGGGAGGAGTTGTTGCTGCTGCTTTCTAGGTCAGATAGCCCCAGGCCTGAAAACAAGCATCAGATGGCCTTTGCCTGAATCCCAGAAGGCTGGAACAGGTTTTAGATAAAATATACAGAGTTGTGGGCAAGAACTCCAGGGTGGGGTTACCCAGAGGGCAAGTCTGGGATGGGCTAGGTTTGGAAAGGATAGGGAGATGTCCAATGGAGCATTGCTGCAGCTATGGGAGCTGTGGCTGCTCAGTCCTCCAGAGAGCTGCCAGCACAAGTGTCTGAGGGAGAAACTCTGCACAGTGACACACTGGTGGCCCTGAGGACAGGTCATCCACCAGTACGATGACCGGATCATCAGGTGGGCCTCTCCACATCAGTATCTAGTGCCAATCCCTGTTCCCCCCCCCCCCCACTCTGCTGTGAAGCAGTTTGTCCCAGGCAGGGGAGAACTGCCCTGGCAGGAGCCTGTAACACCCGTGCAGGAAGTGAAGCCGTGGGGGAAGGAAGGCTCAGGCAGGGCCACCTGGGAGGCACAGTACAGGTGCTCTCACTGTGGGGAAGAGGCAGCCCAAGGTGAGTCTGGCAGTGGGTGGTGCAGGAGAGGAAGAGCTGCACCAGAGGGATGGAGGTGGTGCCAGCAGAAACCATGGAAAGAATGAGGGAGGTTCACTCTCAGAGACAAATTATGTGGGGTGTGTCAGCAGGACCCGGCTGTGTGGTTGCTGGACTGGCAGCCTCCGTCCACCCGGCACAAGCTGTTGAGGTGGCAGGCTGGTATGTGGCCCCAAGCTCTGCAGTTTCTCAATCATGTGCACGAGAGAGAAAAACACAGGTTCTGGAAGGGCTGTTATGGGCTGGGAGTCAGATGAGCAACAGGATAGGTGGAGAAAGCCCAAGCCAAACCAAGACAGTCAGCTAAATGTTAAGACAGATAGAAAAAACAAAGAAATCCTGCACAGACCTGAAAGTGGACTATTCCTCTTAAATGTGCCTGAGCCAAAGAGTTAAAGGCATGATAAGCACCAGACTGCTGTTACTGCAATTGAAACCTTCTGCGAGAGCAGCAAGGGGCACGGGGACCCGAGTGCTGCAGCAGAAAGGTGCATCTTCAGCTCCGCTCCCCTTTTGGGATGCTCCTGCCAAGGGGAGAGGCAGATAGGGCAGCATGTGGGGACCAGACCTCTGGGCTGAGTCTCTCTGGGAGCCCAGGAAAAGCTTCTGGAGGATGAAGAGGGACCGGCCAGAGCAGTTCACAGACTGGTAGGGAAGCCTGAGGGGGAAACAGAGATGTGTCACCACAAATCCTAACTGGGTCATAGCAAGAATGGAAGGAGGCTCCAAGAATCGATTTTTGGCCCATCTTCCCACTGGGAAAGGCTGCACTAACAATGAGGCTGTGGCTGAGGTTGCCATTAGCTGTCACCCGTAACCCAGCAGAACAGGTTCCTGTGTCCCAAGTGGATTACAGGAGAAGGAGAGAGGAAGTGAAAAGCTGAAGAGCAGCTAGGAAGGGCCCTGTGACACAGAGTTAATCCAGTTAACTGGGAATGACCAATGATCCCCTTCTAATTCAATGCTCAAGGGAGACACGAAGGTCCAGGCAGACTAGGGAAGAATTTGTACCAACCAAACCCATCTTAACCATTGACTGCTCCACACTGAGGGCTGGGCAAGGACTGGTCTGTGGCAGTGCCAGTGCTGAGAGTTTGAGTTATCTCAGAAGGTGGCAGAAGGTAGCCACAGGCTACCTGCACAGATCCAGCATGGTGAGCATAATCCCTACAGGATAACCCACTGTTGCACAAGTCAAGAGATCACAGCTCTCACACCCACAAACTCCCAACAATGCAGGCTGACCGGGAATGACGTAAAGGTTGGGCTTTTTCTCACATCTTCTGAAAGTGTGAGAAGTGATGGGATTAGCAAGGATGATTCAGGTGCTACAGGAATCCTTCCTGTTCACTGGGAGCCACACATGGGGTGTAGCTGAACCCAGCAGGTTATTCTATCAATATTTCAGGCCAACAAGATATCCGCATTATGCCCAAACTCAAAACCTTTCCTTGCTCTCCTCCCACCTGTAGGATGGACAGTGTGGCAGAAACAGTGTGGGGAGGACTTGTGTCCTGGTTCTGAGGCAGATTTCCTTCTGTAGCTACACTCACACTCTGAGCAGCCACAGGTTAGTGCATTCAGCTACACAGATCCACTTGTGCTGCTGTGTCCCTGCTGCAATCCAAAACAGAACAAGCACAACCTTCCCGAGGGTATGGCCTGGCATCTGTGCTGCTGTCACGCAGTACCTATTAGATAGGCTGCACTAGGAACTGTGTTTTAAGACTTCCTACAATTATGCCAGCTAAAAGCTGTTCGTTGGAACTAAGGTGCATTGATATATATTATTAACAATACTGTGGTTTCTCTCTCCAAAAATAACTGCTGGGGTTTCAAAGATCCTGCTCAGTCAAGTCACGTCAAGTTTTGCTCTAAGATCATTGATCCAGCACAGCCAAGGCCACCACTAAGCCATGTCCCCAAGTGCCACATCTACATGTTTGTTAAATCCCCCCAGGGGTGGTGACTCCACCACTGCCCTGGGCAGCTGTGCCAGGCCTGGACAGCCCTTTCTGGAAGAAGTTTTCCCAGTGTCCAACCTGAACCTCACCTCGTGCAACTTGAGGCCTTTTCCTCTTGTCCTGTCCCTTGTTCCCTGGGAGCAGAGCCTGACCCCCCTCTGGCTCCATCCTCCTGTCAGGGAGTTAGAGAGAACCAGAAGGTCCTCCCTGAGCCTCCTTTTTCCCAGGCTGAGCCTCCCCAGCTCCCTCAGCTGCTCCCGGTGCTCCAGCTACTTCCTCAGCTCTGTTCCTATCTCTGGACATGCTCCAGTGCCTGAATGTCTTTCTTTTAGGGCCCAAAACTGAACACAGGATGCAGTGACAAAGATATGAACCAGGACTGGCCCCAGTACTGAGCCCTGGGGAACCAGTTTCTACCAGCTGGAGGTGACTCCACTGACCCATCATCCTTTCAATGCAGCAGATATTTTGACTTTGTCTAAACTTTTATTTCAAGGAATACAATTGCTTTGAGTATATTCACAAGAATAAATATAAAATTCTTCTCTCCAGAGCAAGAAGACGAGTTTTTATAAAAATATATCTCTATCCCACAGAACCACTTAGGTGGGGTTTCCTTTAGGAAATATTATTTAATAAAAAAATAAAACACTGCAAATAAAATGCTTGACCTATACAGATTGAATCACCAAACAATTGAAATTTTTTTAAGGTTATAAATATAGTAAATATTATTAATAAAAATAATATTTAAATAGATGGGAAGCCACTGAGTCCATCCAGATGAACGGAACACTGCAGGAAGTCACCATTTCTCCTATAGGGCACCAACTTCCTTGTATTCACCGGCATTTGTTTGTCTCCTCTTGTTTCGGTACCTGGAGCAGAGGAGAGAAATGTGAGTTTTGGAAAGACGGTTGTTCCAAATGGCTTTTTGGGGAGTGAAGGGAAGGAAGGAAAAAAAAAGCTGTATGACCTTCTAAAGTTTGTTTTAAATCTCTCCTCCTTTAAATCTCTAGCTCCTGGGCTCTGTCTGTGCTCATTTCCAGGTCTGAGATAACTCCCGGGCAGTCTCCTTTCTCAGCTCTTCACTGAAAATTCCACATCTGCCTTAAAGTCTTCCTGTGGGTAAGTAGGTCTGTCTTTGAGAAATCCTGCTGGTTACCATCTAGCTATCAGATCTGGGAAGCTGAGCTCTCCCTCTGGAGTTGTTCCACCTCCTCAGCTCTCTGGCAGCTGCTTACTGTAATTTTTAGCCTGGAGAATGATTCCTGCTGCTTGTGGGTCTGTTTATGGAGAAGACTACTGTCCCCCATGGTAAAGCTGACAAGGCAATGCTCATGATATCACAGGCACCACAATAACATGGCAGATAACGAATCAGCAAGTAGTAATCCAGCTGTTCTCCATTTCCTGATGACTGGGGAAATGGCACTACCAATAAAAGAACCAGAACTTTCCTATTCCCTCTCTGCTCACTCCTTGACCTCAACACACCCTCTAAGCCAGACATGTTTATATAGCCCTTATATAGACAAGCTACATAGTCCTGTGCTGGGGTGAAAAGGCACCTGGGAGTGCTGCAGCCTGGCCTGCAATTTGGGTTATGCCACGCTGTCAGCACACTTCCTTTCCTGAGCACTTCTGGTGCAGGCCAGCAGGTCTGTACATCAAACCGAATCCGTGCACTTGAGGCAGTGCGGTGTGCCAGGCTGTCCACGGGTACTCCGAGGGTGCCTGGCAACACCTGCAGCCAGCTCACCTTCCTGAGCCACCGAGGACACCTGTCTTACCTCCTATAGATGTAGTAGCTTGCAAGGGAGATGGCGGCGACGAAGAGCAGAACCACGATAACCGTCAGTGCCACGTACTCCTTGCTGAGGGGCTGCCGGACCAGCTCCGAGTGCACACACCGCACTCCAGAGAACCCCACGTCACACCTGGCAATGAGAGACACGGAACTAGAGACACGCCTGAGGGGCTCCACTGCGGCACGGACTATGTGCTGAAATGCTGGCCTGCTGTTTCCTCAGGGATAAGGCATTTGAACTGATGTATGGTCCTAGAAAGGGTTGCAAATTCTTCAGGTAAACAAGGATTACCCTTAAAAATGCCTTTAGGCATAAAAAGGTCTTTATTTTGTAGGGTGGATCAAAGGGGAGACCCTTGGTGCTGTGCCTGAGATCTGGATCTCACACTACTATAAATACAGATGGACAGGGAAGCACATCAGAACAAGTGTCCCGAGTTGGGTTGGTGATTAATTTCTGGTGTCTGAGACTCTCATGCACAGAGATTTCACTGGAGGCAGCACATGTGCTTAACACTTGCCTAAATGCAGCTGAGGTGCAGTATAGATGTACTGCTCCTCTTAAAGTTCTTGTGAGCCTTTAATACTTGGCTGGTTGAGTATTCCAGCTAAGTGCCAGCAGCAGTGAGATCCAAGTTCACCTCAAAGCCCACCCCAGGGATACGTGCAGGACACACGGGGCCCTGTCCACACCTGCAGTAGTGCTCATCCAAGTCCACGATGTACACGCACTGCCCATGGAAGCAGTAGTCCTTCATTTCAGGCTTGCATCTCGTTATCCCCACTTGGGCCACACGTGGGCTGTTCTCTGTCTGGACTGCAAAGAGACTTCATTAGCACCTCAGGAGGTGGGCAATGTTGCTTAGCAGAAAGGTGATTTCCAAGGGCACCTCAGTGAGGCTGCCAGCCCAGGGAAGATGGGAAGCAAAGATCTGTTGTTAGGAAGAGCTGTGCAGTACTTACTGAGCGCTGTGGTGCAGTTCTCCATTTCACCAGGCCCACATAATGGGATCACTGTTGTGCCCAGGGCTGCCTGCAATAGGTAACCTGTGAGAGAATAAAAACAATAGTCAAAACTAGATGCATTTCGAGTTAAGCATTTAAACTGCTGCATTTATTAATATAAGGACAGAAACTTTTTATCCTAGTAGGAAAAAACCAGTGTTGTAAGCTGACAAAATACAGGTCTGAGTGAGGCATATAAAGCAGCCCAAAGACACATCTCTGAAATACAAACTTTTGATGCAGAACAGAGATCAGATAGAAACCTGGTGTCTGTGACCACCTCTCACCCACACGCTGAGTGAACCTGGGCAGGAACAGGCTTGGAGAGATTACACAGGAGGGCAGGAATTGGGCCATTTGATGATTATGTTAGGTTTCTGACTGGCCTGGCACAGCACCTGTGCAAGGGACACAGCCAGAGTTCCACAATTAGGCACGACAATCCAGCATTCATCATAGCAGTTCTTTGGCTGATAAAAATCAAGATATCCTTGAGTCACAGCAGTCCACAGGAAGAGAATTTCTGAGGAGTCTGCAAGTCAGTGCAGCTGGTGACTCAGCACACCCCACCACTGGCTTCAGAGATCACAAACTGCTTGAAGCAGGCTTAACTCAAAATCTGCTCTTTCCCATGAAAGAGCTCCCTCAGCTCTGTCCTTGCTGTAGGCAGCTGAAGGGCTGGACAGTTCCTGCACTAAGACCCACCCTTTTTGGGCCCTGGGCCACTGTTACTTATCTCAGCAGAACCCCAGAAGAAACAAGCACAGCTTTCAGGAATTCCATTTTAAATGGACATTTTCAAACAGGATTTGAAGGCCAGCACAAGTACTCACAAGCATCATGGCCTGCCCATGAGGAACAGTGAATGTCTGCCCCAGCTGGTCATGAAATCCACTTGGTTAACATCCCTGCTGTGGTCACAAATTAACCTGCTCATGAACTGCTTAGTCATCAGCCCCATTCCACGGAAGTCTGTAATTTGTGTCTTTGGGCTGTTTGCCTCTATTAACTTGTCAGGTCATGCATGTCTAATGGAGGGAGTGTGCCTCCATAATTTCTTGATCACTCTAATTCAACTCCAGTTATTAGAAAGTTTCATTACATCTCAGGGTTAAATCTAGTAGTGGTGATTTATGGATTTCCGGCAGCTCATCTATTTCTGGGTGATCAGTAGGCTTCCTTTATCCTTCATTCCAGCTACATACGAGGACAGTAGGAATATCTAAGAGGGACAGGGGTTTTTCCCGTGCTTGAGTTTTTAAAACCACCATTCCTTGCAAAACTAAGAAGCCAGGTTTCCATCAAGTTTTAGATGGGGCTCTCCCCCCCAGGGCCATAGCCATGGTATCAGATCCATGATGCTGGCAGCTGCACAAGCTGGAGACTCCTGCGCCTGCCAGCGTGACTCAGCAGGACCTGCCTTTCACTCCAATAGGGTAGGACGTGCAAGTTTACTTTCAGGGTGGGATTTTCTTTTAAAGCAGCGCTGTGCTCAGTGCAGACTTCCTCAGAGGCAGCAGTTTAACGTTTCTGTAAGGCCAGTTTGAGTTGCCACAACAGAAAGTTCAAGAGTTTGAAAGAAGAGGCCATTGACTGACAGATGCTGGCAGCTCAGTTACTGCCAGAATGGCAGACTGAGCTCCAGCACAGACCTGGGGTCCCCAAAGATGCTGGGAAAAGAAGATTTATCGAGTCAGTCCTTCTTCCCAGGAACTAGGGGGACATTTCAGGAGTGCTTGACAGACTAAGTTGCTCCTTTGGCAGGGAGAAGCTGTGGCACAGGACAGCTCTGTCCCGTGACAAGGATACATGTCACAGAAAGAGGTAACAACAGTAAAGAGCAGGAGTCAAGGCAAAACATGCCAGAGGTATCCAAGACACCCGCTTGTTAAGCAGATTGATGAAGCCAGCTGAGGATCTCTTCTAGCCTCCACATTTCTGTGTCAGTTTGCATACTCCCTGGACCTGAGCATCACCTGAGCAGCTGATTTTTCATCTGAAGTTCCCAGTTTGAGAGTTACCAGAACCCAGCTTTTGCATTTGAGAAGCTCCAGCCCAGGTCCATGGAAGAGACAAGTCAGCTCTCCCCCTTGGCTCCAGACGGAAGCCTCACTTTCCAGCTAGAGGAAAGGCCACAACTCAGACACCTGTGAAGGACAAATTAAAAATAACCTCCTCCTCCAACACTGTCCAAAGGTTTGCCCGATCCCAGCCATGCACGGTGAATGACATCCTCCTCCACCTGAAAGCAGGCACACAGGGCTGGAAAGGCTGGAGCACAACTGTAGATACTTGCTGACACCCAGCAGTATTTGCTGCTTTTGGGCAAAGTTCTTCCTGCTTTGCACTGCTCTGTTTTGCCCTTTCCCCCATGCACATATTTCTCCTCTGACATCACTGGGAGGATAAGGGATCCGCACACAGCAGTGGCAAAGGAGAGCCTTTCCCGGGATATTTATCAAGTGATGTATATCAAACACAGCACCTGGGAGAGGTTATATTTCTATTCCTTTGCTGTTCATTAAGCAAATACAGGGCACAAGATAACAGTAATGAGGTGGTGGATTTTCACGTGTGCCTTGCAGGAACGTGAGTGCTACACGGACTGCTACATCACTGGCATCCAGCATCCCAGGTATTCCCACAAGGCTAACACTGACAGCACTTACTGGGACAGGAACAATGATGCTGCCTGCTTGTCCTTCCACAAGGGAAAAAGAAAATGAGGGACAGAGACCCACTGCCTTTGCTTCCTGCAGCCTCCATCAGAGATGCCCTGCAAGGGCCAGCTGTGAGTTTATCCACTGAAAGCCAGCTGTAGTTTCCAGTGGCAGGATGACTGCTAAAAATGAAGAATGCACATGGGAGATATACTAACTACTCTGCAAGATTTATACCCATTTTTGAGGGGATCTGTCAAGTTTCTGAGAGGTCAATCACCACTTCAGCTGGCTTTGCCTGTCACCAGGGTTGCCAGTCTTGTACTAGTTCACCTGAAGAAGAGCCCATGATGCTACTTTACATTTGGCATCTCTGTGGTCTCTGCCGCAGCGGTAGCACCTACACTCTTCAATGGGTTGCACTTCCAAAGCAATTCCAAGCACAGAGGTGTCCAGGTGACACACACCTGAAGGATCTCAGCCCATTTTAACTGCAGAGTGTATCCCCATCACCGAATTTTGGACATCCAGAGTATGTCTGACTGTCTAAGGCCTTCTTTGTGTAGACTAAGCAGGAAAAATGGACGTTAGCCAGTGTGTCCCATTGGCTTTGTGAGCATCCCTACTACCACTGTCTAACTGCAGAACTGCAGACTCACAGCCATGGATGCCAGGGCCTGGCCACAGCAGCTCTAAGGCAGCCCTGGAAACACCAGTCTGTCATGGGAAGACTATTGCTCCAAAATTGTTACAGGCCCACACGATCATCTTCAACTGTGCCAGGACTTGCCCTTAAGCAGAGATAATGCAGATAATTATGCATTATGTGCACCCAGTCATCCCGGTACTGCTTCCACCCCTGTGGAGACCTACACACCAGTCATCTTACTCACATACTACCCCTGTGCCTCAGCCACTCTGCTTTCACCACCCGCATGGGGGCTGAGATCCCTACATCAAAGAAGCAGAAATCCATTATTGCTTCCAGCCAAGCACATCAGCCCCTAACACTTTCTCCATCTCCAGACTCAGCAACCTTTATGTTCAGCCCACTTGCTGATGGCCAGGCACACGTGACACAGGAAAACGTAAGGTGGGTCTGGAGATCTGAGGTCTGAGCGAGCATTACAGGGACCACAAGGAGACCAGTGCCAAGGTTCTGGCAGCAGCTCCCAGAAAAGGCAGAGCCTGGGCTTGGCTCCATCACCACCACGTGAGCATGCGGGTGGCACGGCACCGTGGCTGCTCAGGAGTGAGTGACAGCTCTCTGCCACCGCTGCCTTTCTGCTGCACAGTCACCAAGCCCACGAGAGCCAGGATACAAACCTGACATGGCTGTCACTTCAGTTACAGGCTTCAGCCACTCAGCAGGGAACCTCTTCCAGCCTGTCATAACACCAGCAACAGACAGCCTTCCCAGGAGCACCGTGTTCTGCTTACACTCCTGCCCTGGGAGGGGAAGGCACTACTTGTTATGATGCCACCTAGCTATGACTAATCTATCCTTTACTATTAGATACTGTGCCTGCCCCGGAAACAAATAAATCCGTATACAGATCCATGAGGACACACCAGTTCCTTCCAGTGACAGTTTTGTGCAAAGCATGGCTGAGTCACAGACTATAAGATGTTTAGCCTGCTGTCCTGGCAAGTGAGATGCTGTGCAGCTGATCCATCAGCTGTTATGGAAACAGCTGGCCAAGATCTAAGACCCAAACTCATGCTGCAGTGGGCTTAGCAGGTGAGGGAAACATCTGTCTCAAAAGAGAAGTCTTGTAACTGAGTCCCTCCACTGACTATGACCTCGGCCCCAACACCACAGATGTGAGAATATGCTCTGTCTGTAGAGCAAGGTGTGAGTGTGCCAGGCCTCAGTCCTGCCTCAGACCTTCACTGCCCACACGGCTCAACTGCCCGACAGGGTCAGCTCCCAGCAGTCACTGCCTGTCACTGCCAGCGCCCTGTGGAGGTGTGTGACAAGGATCAGCTCTTGCATCACAGCACACCCAGGCCCCAGGACTCTCGGTGCTCTAAGGATACACGTGTTCACTTTGGACTTTCAGGTAGCTTATGTCATACAATAGAATTACACGCTCCCGGTGAGGAGGTGGAGAAGTGTCAAGCAGAGGGAGGCCACGACTTGTTTTGTTACCATAAGGAAGTCTCTGCTCCTGTGGGGACTCACCCGCTGAGCTCACTCAGAGCATGGCCTGGGTGAAGGCAGCAGGACCAGGCTATAAACAGGACAGGACAAGGTCAAAGAGAACCGACAGCACTAGGAGAAGAGCTGGGGAGAAAGGGAAAGAACATTCTCCTTCACTCAGTCCCAGAGCACATCCAGGCATCGCCCAAGCAACAAAACATCCCATAACAACACACCACGGAGTGTGTGATCTGCTCCTCAACTCACACAACCTCCCCCGTACACCTGTCACTACCTGTGACTTCACCTCGGAGAGAAACACATCAGCTTCACCTAAAGGCAGCCTGAACTTAACGCTTTGACACAGATTTCCCAGTAGCTTGAGAACACCCGTCCCAGAGCGCAGCCCCCGATGCTCGATGCCCTCCCAGCCCTGCCCGCGGGAACGGGGACCTCTCCGCTTACCGAGGAAGAGCAGCAGGCTGCGGGCCCGCAGGCAGCCGGCGTCCATCGCCCTCGGTCCCCGGGGAGCAGAGGAGGCGGCAGGAAGGCAGGCGGCGGAGCCAGGAGCGGTGTGGAGCCGGCGGCCGCCCTGCATCTTTTATGTTGCCGGCGGAGAGGGGCCGGGGGCCCCGCGGCGGCGACCCCGGGCCGCCCCAGGGGCAGCGGCCTGCCCGGCCTCCTGTCGTTCCTGCCCCGCCGCCCCCGACGGGACGGGACCGAGACGGGAGCGGGACTCGGCCGCTCCAGCTCTGTGCCCGCGGAGCGGATGCCCCGACGGGGCAGGCGAGGGGGAAGCGCCGTGACCGCGGCTGGCCCCGGTGCTTCGGTGGGGAGGGAGGGGCAGCCCGGGCCCCTCCAGTCGTCGGCTGCTCCCCGGGGACATTCGATATCCCTCGTTCTAGTGAGCATCTCTGCAAATAGTGCTTGGGGCTGTAAAACCACCTGTCCCCTCTGAGCAATCTGGCCAAGGCACTGATGCCCGGGACTTCCCAGGGTTGTGGATTCCCACCGCTGATGGCACAGCCTTGGCACCGCTGCCTTTGCCTGCCCTCAGTGCATCCATGCAAAATGTAATGGCACGAGGCTCGGGAGCCAACTGCTGCCCAGATGGGCTCTGCTGGTGCTCAAAGAACCACTGGGCCATTGCACTGCCATGAACATTACTTGTGCCTAAACCAAGGATTGGGAAATGCCTCAGGGTGGGCAGTGGGAAACTTGCTGCCATCCCTAATCTCCCATCTCCTGCACTTCTGAGATGACCCTCAGCACATCCGTGGGGCTGCCAAGGAGCTCCGGGGCCAGGGGCAGAAATGGTCTATTAAGTTACAGCACAGGCCCCAGGAATGCCAGCACCTCACCTGGCACCTGGGCTGCCTGCAATGGTCACGAGCTCAGGGGGGGTTTATGCCACGTTTCCCCTCCGGCCTTTGGCCTTGTCACAGCCCAGTAGCATGAGCAGTTCCTGGAAGCAACACATCTTCCAGTTCCCTAAACAGCAGCCAACCAGTTACAGCTACTTCTGGGAAAAATGCAAGTAATCCACTGAAGCCCACGCACTCTCATCGCTACATTAGGCAAGGCCTCGTTCGGTGCTTACAGCCCACCATGGATGGTGAGGGATCCCCCACCATCAGATCCCTTCTGCATGCATTTGCCTGAAATACAAAGTGTGTTTTGGCTTAACAAACTGCTCAGCAATGTTGGTCACATCTTTTCCTCTTACAGGAAAAATCCTCCTCCCCTGCCTTACCACCTTCCATCGTCAATAAAGGCATGTTGATAACCAATTTAACCTATCTCAGAGTGAAAGGAGTCTGAGCCCTGGCACTGAGGTGCACTGGAACAACTGATGACTCAGGCACCTATAGTTTCTCCATGTTATAAGCAGCTATTGATACAAGAGAGTTAACTGTAGAAGATACTGCAGAATATGATATACCATAACTCCATGTTTAGATAGCAGTTCTAAGTAATAAAAGCATTAATTAAGGGGGCTGGAATAGATGAGGTACTTACAAATCATACTCCTTGTAATTTTGGGAGCATTTTCTTAGGTCTACAGAGGCATGCAGATGCTGAAATGAAAAAAGGCAGCACGTTACAACATAATTGCGTGTCAGCACAACTTATTAATGACCTAAATAGTAGGAGAGGTGGCAGGATAAAAGTAATAAAGCTCAGTGTGAAAGTAGCTTTTAGATTTCCCTCCACAGTAAGTGGCACATGATATAGCTGGAATCTTTTTCTCATTCCCCTTCTCCCCCCCCCCAGCGCTGGAGTCATGTCATGTAGATGGTATCTTTTTTTCATGCCACGTGACTGTTTTTGTTGCTTCTTTAATTTGGACTGATGCCCCTTATTAAGGATTTTATTGTCTGCTCTCTCAGGAGTCATAATGTGTAAAGGAAGGAATTGCAGTTATTAGCCAAGTGTTTCTGTGTGTAGGCTTACAGATGCCTTAAAAAGCAGCATCACCGTAGAAATTCCACTTTATAATTAATTTTACCCTTAAATTCCTGCATGATTTATCCTCTGAAAGGCAACATTTAATTATAGTCTTGTACCGGTACCCAGATACCAAGTAACGCTGACACAATTGGAGCAATTCATTGGAATTTCCTCTTTCGGATTGGAACACATGGAAAACAAGTATCATGCACACATCTTTGTTTCATCTGTCTGTCATGTGCTTCAGTTCACGGTGCGTGATTTCGCACCCAGCATCCCCGCGTGCGGCTTTCACCATCCCCTCCTCCACGTGGAGGCTGATTCTTGGGATAAGGTTGGCACACACCTCAAGAGCCAGTTTTTTTTCCAAGAGGCTGTTCACACTGCGTGGTGCCTTCCTGCATCAATGGGGTCATTGTGAGGCAGGTTCCTTGCATCCCACAGTCTGGTTACGGAGTGACATGTCTGTACAACGCTGAGAGGCAGCACTGGTTGGGCAACAGAGCATCAGCTGCTGGCCTTGATTTCAGCCGCGGTGAACCGGCACACCCAGGGCAAGGCACTGATGGATTTGTGCCCCTTGCCACCAGAGCATTGAGTAGCCCCCTGAATGCTTTGACATTTCAGGATTTTCTTCTTTAAAAAGTGTAACAAGAATATGAGGAAATACCTTAAGAACCTGCGTGAAAGACTGACTTGCTTTTATGACCTTGCAATGGCTGAATAATCGCCTTTAAAGCAAACCTCTCTTCCCAAAGCACAGAGGCTCAGCTCAAGTCCACGCTGTGCTTTAGCCCCTCTCAGTGTCACAAGCATTCCTCTCCCCTTTTGGGACGGAGCAGCAGATTCACAGCAGTGACTATTGCAAGGGTAGGGACTGAGCTTTGTCTGTCAGTTTATCTATCACTGATGACACACAGCACTTTCTACAACAACACACCCTTCTCACCTTACAGAGGAAGAAAACCAGGTTAAATGTAGATTTTTCTCTGGCCTCTATTTTCCTCATGGTGACTTGCTGTAGAAGAATACACGTGTTCACAGCAATGAACTGCCATTTTATCTGCATGCTTTTACATAACTAAAACCATACATGACAAGTGACTACATCACTTATTTCACCTACTTACTGTAGGACTTGCACCCAGTTTTACGAATTGCTACTGTGAGGATGGATCTGCATTGGTTTTGTCTGTTGAGAACAAGACCTATTTGCAAAATCAACATTTTTTTTTTTTAGAAAGCATTTTCGAAGCTGAAAGAAGATCATTCCTAGTCCTGCTCTGATGCACTCAAGACTGTTACACACAGGCACAAAGTAACCAAAAGCAGTATTTTCATAAATTCATGGGAAAATCAGCCAACATTTTTCAAACAGCAAGACAGATTTTTACATACAGCAAGCTTTCACTGCACAGCATGAGAGATACTCAAGAAATACTCTCAGAAAGTTGGATGTTAATTGGAGTGCAGCTCACTCTTGAAAGCATTTTTATTTGAACTACGCAAGGAATATTAAGTCTCTGGAGGGATTTACAAGATGTGTAGATGTGGTATTAGTGTCACAGTTCAGTGGTGGGCTTGGCAGTGCTGGAGGAATGGCTGGACCCAACGATCTTAGCAGGCCTTTCCAAATAAGTTATTCTATGAAATTATTAAATAGTCAAAAGCTTGGGGCTCGTGGGAACACAAATGCCCTAAGAAGGGAATGTACTTAACAGCGATACGTAGATGTGGCTGTCTGGAGAAACGGAGTAAAGAAAAACCTTGAGCCAAATTATTCCATTTAAAGGTCAGTCTCAAATTTGCCATGAATCTGAGGGATGAATTTAGGTCAAATGTTCTTAAACAACCAGTCTCTCCTATAAACTATGAGAGTTCAAAACACTGCACCCAAGGCTGAAAGTGGCCGATGTCTCTTCCTGTAAATGCAGCATGAGGTCAAAGCTACAGGACAACACAGATGTTTTGCTATGAAAACAAAAAAGCAATTCCCCAAATTCATTGATTTCTTAGCCAACTTCTTGGGTCAGTACTAACTAACCAACAACTTAAAAAAGAAGGAGAAAAAGCCCAAACAGCTAATTGTCCTCCATCTCAGAAGACGGCAGTGAAAAGTGGACAAGTCTGCCAGTTCATGTTGGATTCCTCCCTAGAGGATAGTTTTTAAAGCTTCATTCTTCTGGCTTGTATGACTTTTCCATTACTCTCCCCTGGGCAATTCCTGAGTGGCTCAACACATCTCATGGGCAGCAAGAGCTTCACAATGCTCAGCTGGTGTTTTCCCTTTCCTAATTACAGCCTGGTGCTCCATGCTAAGTGATTTCTTAGCCTCCAAGGGGTTGTAGCCTTTTTCATTTTTGAAGTCTTTCCATGGCTTCTGCCTTTACTTGCTGCTAAACCAACCTGTGCAGGCATTTTATCTGTACCCTTATAAAGGATGTTAGCAAGCCCAATTCCCCCATATCACTGCCCATATATCCAGTAATTGTTTCTCCTTACTCCAGATGAATTGTTTAGAATATGCGAGGACCATGGTGGAAGAAATGGGGTTTCTCCCACAGCAAGTAGCAGTTGAAAGCAAGCTGGGAGAAGAACACCAGCTCCTCGCCCATCAGTCCTGTGCGCTGTTCTGTCCATCGACACCTCTTTTGAGTTCATAAAGTCATCCCTTCCACAGCATTTCTCATTCTCCAGGAAGGCAAGAATTAACCACTGAGAGACAGAACACATGCAAACACAAAGATTGCCCTCTCTGGCAGCTCACCACGTGCACACCTGGGTGCAGCATTCAGATCCCTGCTCAGTGGCCAAGAGAACTGAAACTGTTACGTGACAGTGTGTTCCTGGTGGATGACCATATGGCCCACCCGCTCAACAGCTCTGCCCATCCACCTCAGGACAGTGAAATGACAGCAAACCCACCACTGTGGGGACTGGTGTGACTCACCAGCTGCTGTGGAGCTTTCTCCATAGCAGTCCATCCTGGCTGTGGGCTCTCCACTGCTACCTTCCATCCCTCCCCTGTACCTCCCATCGGGACAGCTGGCGCTAGCATGGGGAGGACAAGAAGGCAGCACTGTGCTGGGAAGCACAGACCTG